CCCTGACCCACATGGAGGCAGTGTTCTTGACACTGCCTGTGATGCAACTCTGGACTTGAAGCGTGGTGGTAGTAATGGCTTCACGGAAAAATGTGAGACTGTTTTGAGCCCCGCTCTTTGCCTATCTCTGAGCCTGGCTCTTTGAGCTCTCCAGTATCTTTTATAATAAATTCCTGTGGGGCCAAGATGTCAGGGTTTGTTTCTGTGGCTTTTAACTGAGAATATATCCATTAGGATCCAGTCTGGAAAATATTTCTTCTAGGTCTTTTGAACAGACGGAATTTAATACAGACAGTTGATTAAATGGTGATGGAAAATCTGAGAAGCCGGACAAGGAGCAGTGGCTCAACCAGAGATGAGTACCAGCTGGAAGATGATATCCCCTAGGGCTGGAGAGACAGTGAAGAAGAGTGTTATGAAAGCCCATTGTCTAATAGGAGTCACAAGCAGAGTAGGGCCTGCCAGGATGGGCAGAAGAAGTAGGGTTGTAAGTGACCAGAAGCTAAAGGGGCATCGAACATAAAAGGGAAACCCAGAAATAGGCCTGGAAGCCAAGAGGCAGTTGACGAGCACACGTAATAGGAGCTCACATTTTTTTTTTTAATTGAGTTTATTGGTACATTTAGGGATACAGTACAGTTACATTCATTGTTGGGATCATGTACCTTTACATGGCAAGTCTTGATTCTCATTTTTATCCCCTTACCTCTGCCCTCCCTTCACCCCCTCTCACATGTTTTTTTGACTGAAAGAAAGAATCAAGGAGAAGGCTGGGACCGGAACCTTTTGTTACCTCAGTGCTTAAAGGATTGGGAACTGAGAGGCTTTTCCCTAAGGAGAAGGGATTGGAGCAGTAGGAGGAAAGTGGACAAGGGTAGCGTCCAGGAAGCCACAGCACAAAAGCAATCAAATCTGCCAGACTCCTAACTGGATTTCCACCAACTAGACCTCTGAATTATTCATTGAGTCTAGACAGGAGACTCAAAACACTCATCCATGAGCTTTGGGCACCACAGCTTCTAATCCAGGTTACTCCCTCGGTAACTTTGGTTATTAAGTGAGGATAACAGCGCTGCTAATTTTAGCCGAGCAAGGTGAGAAACAATGAATAAAGAAGACTTTCATATACTGGCAAAATAGAGAAATGTGTGTAGCCAGACTCTTAACCGATAAATTAGAGATAAGTGCATTCGCTCTCCCAGTTTGAATCCATGGACTCTCTCATACGTTACAGAAATTAATCGAATGTGCTGTCTTTGTTGGCAACACAGCTTTAATGTGAAAGAGAAAAATAAAAGGTATGTTTTTGGAGTTCATCCGAAGGAACATGACATAAAAGAAATAACAGATATTTTTCCTTCCTCATTTATTTTGGCCTCTTTTATTGATACTTAATTTTTAAATGTAATATTTAAAAATTGTATACCTGGTGTATGACAGGATGCTCTGAGATAGGCGTACATTGTAGAATGACTAAGTCAAGCCAATTAACATACACATTACTTCAAATGCTTTCTGTGATAAGAACACGACACTTGTGCTCATTTGTTTCCAAGTATACAAAGCATTGTTATTAAATATAGTGACTGTGTCATGCAGTGGATCTCTCGAAGTTACTACAATTTTATAAGCTTTAACCAGCCTCTCCCAAACTCTTGCTTGCCCCAGGGCCCCAGTGTCTGCCGTTCCACTATCTGCTTCAATAGTTTGATTTTTTTAGATTTCACCTGCAATTGAGAGCATGTGATATTTGTCTTTCTGTGCCGGGCTTGTTTGACTTTGCATAATGTTGTTCATGCTATGGCAAATGTTAGAATTTCTTTTTTTTAAAGGTGGAATAATATTCCATTGTGTATATGTGAGGTGTGATAAAATAATATGGCAACTGTTTAAATTTTTTAAAATAGTAAAGACGCATTGCCATTAATCTCCCTCAAGAATACTGCCCCTTGCTTTGAATACATTTATCCTAAAGTTCTTGCCACTTTTTTTTTTTTTTTTTTTTTTTTTTTTTTTTTTTTTTTGCTACTAGGGATTGAACTCTGGTCCTTGTGCTTATAAGGCAGGCAGTGGAGCCACTAAGTCCCTGGCCCTTCTTGTCACTTTCTGAAGCGAAGCCATTTTGGAAATCCTCTTTCATGAGTACCTTTAGTTGCACTGTCGTGGCTGCCTTGATGTCCTGAATCAACGCAAAATGTTCACCTTTCATGGTCAGTTTGGCTTTGGGGAAGAGAACCGCATGGTGCCAGATCTGGTGAATAAAATGGATAAGGACACACTGTACTGTTATCTATTTGTTTGTATGTTTGTTTTAATTGGTTGTTGGTCTGGCTATGTAGCTCAGGCTGGCCTCAGACTCACCGCCATCCTCCTTCCTCAGCCTCCTGAGGACTGGGATTATAGGTATGTACCACCCTGCCTGGCCGGTAATATTTTTATTTGACAGAATTTGCCATAAACAATTAAAAATATTTATTATGGACACCAAGACAGCCACCAAAAACCACTCATAAAAGAGAACTTCCAGAACTACTTCCGGAAGTGGCAAGAATGATGGCCTTAAATGTGTTTGTATCCATGGGGAGTGTTTTCAGAGGATTAATGGCAAGGTGTCTTTTATTGTAATTAGGAATTTTGTTTTGATCACACCTTGCATTTTCATTATCTGCTGATAGACATTCAGGTGGACAGTTCTACAGTGGACATGGGAGTGACAGTACCAAAAGAACACGAAAGATTCACAAAGACCTTGTGTTAGTCCTGCTGTACTCTTCATTAGCATTATAATTTTAGACACACTGTAAACTGATACTTAGTTTATTCATGCTAAAATAAGTGTCACAATAAGAGTTCCGTGCTTAGAATTATGAGAGCTTTTTATGATTAGGTGATCAAAGCTTCTAAAACAATAATAAGTAAATGATAAGTGAACAATAAAAAAAGAAACAAGGGGTACAGGATATCATGTTGGGGTCTTTATAAAATATGAAAACTCTGTCTTCTTCCTTCATCTCCTTTGTTTTTACCATGGACTCTGGTAAATGAAAAAAGTGAGGCCATAAAGTGAAATATTTTCCTTGAAAAAATGGCTGGCATGAATTGGTTTTATAGAAAAATTCTTAAAGGAATTAAACCCTAAGGCTCAGAGCTCCTGCCCCTTCCTAAAAACAGCAAACTCCATGGGAACTATACATCTAAGGGCCATTTACATACTCAGAATTTCACATCTTTAAAAACCTCTGGCTACATTTATTTTGCTTCTTACAAAATCCTCATTTCCTGTAGCTGCTGTAAAATGTCTATTGGATTATACCTTGCAGGATTTTATTCTCAGGTGGTTTCTGGGTGTTTCTGTGACCCAAGCAAGGCGTCCCTGAGACTGTATCAAATGGTTTCTTCTGGAAACAGCTGGGAATAAGATCAACTCCAGGCCCTCACAAAGGTCCCAGGCTTCTGCTGTGCGTTAGCAGCAGCAAGAGTGTTGCCGCGTTACGACACAAAATATAAGAGCTCGAGGCCTTCGGCTGGTTTTCCGGAGCAGCTGTCTCTAGCTCAGGTGTTGAAATGTCAGCAACTTCATTGCAATCCAAACACATCTGTACCCCAGGCACAGAAATGTCTAATGAAGTGACTTCCTCGTGCTGGCTGGTCTTGTGGTTTTATTAAACCCTTAACCGTCGGTACCGAGTACCTCAGAGGGACCTGCCTAAGGATGAAGACACAGCTGGTGATGAATCACTGATGTACTGACATGTCACCACCTGGATGTCCACAGCTGGGCTTCACTTTGAAACATCACAGGAAGCTCAGAGTAAATTGGGCCTCACGTCAGCTTGGTCCTTACCTTATGTAGACAACCTGTATAGCTTCTGTCATCCTCCCAATTGTTCTTTGGCAGAAGCTTTGCTCCCATCTTACTTCAGAGAACATCAGCAATATCTATTCCTTTATTTATATGTCAGTCACCTGCCTTTAAATGTCAGCTTTATATCATGACTTTCTGTTTCATAAATGTAATTTTCTTATATTTATTTATAACTTTAATGTATTCTTTTTCTCTGGTTTGGTGTAGGAGTGATTCTAGTATCAAGCCAAGCTCAACTCATGTCCTATATGGTAAAAATTTAAAAAAAAAAGGAAAACAGGGTGAGGGATTTAGCTCGGTGGTTCCACCACCTACCTTGCAAGTGCGAGGTCCCGAGTTCAATTCCCTGTACCAAAAAATTAACAAAAAAAGGAAAACAGTTTCCCTGGCTCATGATTAAGCTATCCCTGTTGGTCCCTTTTTCTCGAAGGAAAAGAACCTTCCAGGGTAATGGAGAGCCGCAGTTGGCCTGGGAAGTGAATCCTGAAGGCGGGCAGCTTTCCCTTCCCGAGTGTTCTGTACTAGCGCAAACCCCTCTGGGGACAAACAGTAAACAGTTTCACCAGCTCCTCGCCTTGAAGCCTCCCCTGGAACTTGCTGTGGAGTTACTGCAGCCACACATGGCCCTGTGGCCTCTCTCTTTCTTTCTTTTTATTTTTTGTAAACAATGGCCATAGTTAACCCAGCCTTGTTCTTTTGTAATTACTTCAAAAATATTTAGCCACCCATTTTACTGTTTAATTCCACATTCTAATAGAATGCTATCTCTATTCATTTCCTATTATGGTAGATAAAGCTTTCTCTCTTGTATCCTTTCACCTTTCCTGTATCTTTCCATCTTGTTTGCATTATCATTTCAGAACTTGCATTACTCTGAAAATGGGAGTGTTTATTGCTGAGCCAAAAATCATACTATCTTTACAATTCTTTTCTTGTTCAATTATTATTTTTCTTGGCGCTGATAATGTGCTCATTTAAAAAAATGACCCCGACTGTTCTGTATACATTCAGTTTTCTCAGCTCTTCTAATAGCCCATAATATCCCAGGCAGTTTTTTTAAAACCATTAGATATATTACTCTATTTAGTTTTTACAATAACTCTCTGAGGTTAACTCTGTCATTTGTTTTTGACAGATGGAAACACGAAGCACAGAGTGGTTAACTGGCTCACATGACATCACAGGGTAAGACTGGCCCCCAGCAATCTGGCCCCTGAGTTCTTGGCCCCAGGCAGGCTACAGCTGCTGGATGTACAGCTTTCTACCCAAGCAGATCTCCCAGAGAATCCAATCAGTTCGTTTTTTCCTTAATTAGCCTTTCTCTCATATTTCTCCCCTCGGTGTGCATCTGGATTGCTTGTTGACTAAACCCAGGCACTGTTATCACGCTAGGCCTTATTTTCATTAGTGTGTAGGGAAGTTTTTGTTTGTTTGTTTGTTGTCTTCCCCCAGTGTTGATTCCTTGTTCACTGGATGTGATCTTTTCCTTCCTAGTTTCTTTCACGTTAGGTGAAGCCTGCCTTGTAGAAGATTTCATGAGAAAGGTGCATAGGTGCTCACATTCTTTTACATCTCAGACGTCAGGAAACATTTGTGTTCTCCCTGACAGCCCTGAATACACTATTCGTGGGCATCCTCATTCAGTCTGAAATTTTTGTAATGTTTTAATAGTATGTGTTTGCAATACATAATGATTATATTCATGGTGGAGAATTGGCGCATGGACAGAACACATCTCAGCTCGTCTGCCCTTCCTTTCCTCCTCCCTATGGCTTCCTGCCTTGGTATGTTTGCTCTCTCCCTGGTGTACTGAAGTTTATAAAAGGAATGGGTCTTTTCTCATTCATTGTGCTTCGGGCTTGATAATTCTTTTCAGCTTGGAGACTTATGTTCTTCTGGTCCAGAAAATAACAAGACATATCTCTTGTCATTTTTCCTTTCTGAATCTCCTTGGTAGAATGCTGGACATATCCTGAATTGGTGTTCTAGTCTCATCTCTTTCCTGTTTCTTGAAAAAAAATTTGAGATCTTTACTTAGCTTTATTTCCTAGCCTCTCTGTTTCCGTCTCTCTCTCCAACACCACCCCCACAACCCACACGTTATTTCAACTATCATAGTTAAATTTCTAAGAACTCTTTTTCTAATAACAGTATCTGCTCATTCCTTTTTTTCCTTAACAACATCCTGACCTTGTTTTAAGAACAAATAGCTTATCTTATCTTTCTAAGGTCATTAAACATAGCTTGAATAAAGTACTCTTTTGAGTGTGTTGTGTCTGTTTCTTTGCTGGTTCCTTCCTTCTGCTTTGATGTTTTTATCTTTTATGTTACAGGCTTTCTTTAAATGTCATAATCCAAACCACAGATCTTTTCTCTAAGAACATGAGCTACTGACTTGCATAAAATTGTATTAAACTTCTGATAAGAACAAGGCAATTTATATTATAGCGTCATAACTTTAAAATTCCATGTGAGATACTGAGCTTCTCAAGTATTTTTCTAATGTCTCTGTAAATTGAGTTCTACTTGCCAGCAGTATTTGTGAGTATTGTCTTCTGTCTTCTTTGTTTTTCCTTACTACAAAATTATTATTCTTTTTTAATGTAGAGCTATTATGTTTATGCTGACACATGTCTTCAAAGCTCTTTTACATCCCTTAATCAGTTTACCAGTTTTTTTTCCCTTAATGAAGACAATTCTATCAAGCAGAAGTGTTGTTCCATGTGTGTCACATACCCAAACACCAGTTGTTGCAGTAATGACTCTATTAGTTATGAGACAGTTATTGATAAGTCTAATTTCTGGACTGGTACCAACTCACATGTACTGTTTTCCTGGTGATGTGCAGTTGTTGCCTGTAGCATTCGTTCTGCTCCTTACGACTCACTGGGATAATCAGATTTATCTTGAAATATATCTCTCGACTCGTTATATCAATCAATTTTTCCCTGACTTTGCCAAAAGCACATGTTTATTTACCCACTGGCTGTGTGTGCTTGAGGTTTTTCTGCATATCGGAAGTCATATTAAAAAAAGTCCTGTTCATTAACTGGCAGTTTAAGTCTTTGACTTCTTGGATAGTACTTTCCTCACTTTTTATGAGTGCAGATTAGTTACGTAGATTAATGACCTTCACCTTGGTGGATTTCTACATGTATGTACATTCTTTATTCATCTCCCCATCATGGTCCCCTCTCCCCCATTTCACTTGTTTTTTGGAGGGGCTCCTTGAACATAATGTATTTGGAGCACATTTATGTCCGTTGTTACTCATCCTTGCAGCCCCTCTTCTTGTCTTTCTCTCATCTGATAGCCTCTCATCTACTTCCTCGTCACCTTTTTCAGATTCCACATGTTAGGGAGGACATGCAATACTTGTCTTTCCGACTCGGCTTGTTTTACTCCACACAATGATCCATCCGTTCTTCTGCAAATGACAATATTGTGTTCTTTTCACGACCGAATAGTACTCCATTGTGTATATACACCATGCTTTATCCATTCTTCTGTTGAGGGGCACCTGGGCTGGTTTTATATCATGGCTGTTGTATACTGTGCTACAACACACATGGGTAGGCAGGCATCCCTATGATATGCTGACTTTAATTCCTTCAGGTGTATACCAGGGAGTGGTAGAGCTGGATCAAATGGAAGTCCTGTTTTTAGTTTTATGAGGAACCACTATATTGTTGCATGGTATTAACTTAGTGTTAAAGAGTTCTGCCCAAGCCCTTAAATGCTGGAGGAACATTATGGTTGTGAATATGGCTGGCTTTCTACACATGATTTACAAAATGCATGTTCTGTGCTCTTAAGGATAAGAACCTCTTAGCAGCATTTCATATACTGGATTATCCTCTGCCTCTAGAAATTTTCCTGTATACCATATTCTCCTGGGTTTTCTTAAGGCTCCTACCACATTAGCTTTTCTTCTTATTTTTCTCTGCTAGGTTTATCTCCTCCACTTGATTTCTAAAGAGAAAACAATTCAGAATTCTATCTTTATAAGAATACAGATCTGTCCTCCTCATTTCTGAATGTGATTCCTTCCATTCCATTTTTACATGTTGATGACTTCCAGATCTTTTCTTTTCATTATGTTATATCCCCAAATTTCCATTCCTGGTCGCCTATGTGACATCTTCACGTAGGACATTTGGGGGGTAGTGGGCGTGACCAATACAAAGCTCTCTGGCCCCTCCCTTCTGGACACACTCCAAGTATACCTTACATGCCTCTTTCTTCCTATTTTGGAAAACTGTCCCAACATCTGCCCACTCTCAAGCCAAGAATCTTCTCTTTCACTTAACCCACAAAAGCCATTTATCTAGCAATGCTCTTGACTCTACACTTAAACAATATAAGAACCTGTCCATTTCTCTACATTTCCATGACTGCTACCTTAGTAAAGTATGGGATTTCTTGTGGGCCCCTACAATAACTGGTATTTCTCCTTCCAGTTTTCTCTGTAGCAATCAGAATAAACTGTTAAAAGTATAAATCATATCATATCATTGTTTAATATCAGGCATCTCTGTCACCCCCTTTCCCAGCTCTCTAAGGCCTTAGGGACATCCATGCTCTGGCTGTAACCTGCTCAACTTTCACAGTTGGTTCCTTACAACACCAACCTCTTTCCGTCCCTGTTATGTCGAACCAGCTCTTCCTCTGGGTGAATATGGTTCTCTCGTATCCTACACACGTGATGCATCCTTTCCTATATTCTTATTTCATCTTAAGAATAGTGACCTTATCAATCTCATCAAATATAGCTTCACCAATGGCTTGCAAAAAGAAAGCACTCAGTACCTATTTATTGTGAGGTAAAAGCATTATAGACGCCATTTAGTTTAACTTTTTTTTTTTTTTACAAGTAGGAAAACAGAGAGAAAGGAATCCCAACGATCTTATCAGTAGCGGGCTACTTGGCCTGTTCTAGATTTGTTCCATATGATCATGCCCTCAACCGTCTCACAGAGCAGCTATTTTTAGTTCTGCTCTTGGTTCTGCCAATTTGCTCAGTCCGTTTTCTCTGGGGAAACATTCAGAGGTGACAGTAAGGCTTGCTGACATTATCGTACTGAGGGTGCCATGGGCAGCAGCCTGGTGTATGTTCTCCTCTATCTCCTATCCTTCAGGTGTCAGGACACCAGCATCCCGGGTCTGTCGCAGCTTTATTTAAAAAGCTTCGAGAACGTGTGTTTTGGACATTCTTTCCTGTACTCTCCAAGAACTCCTGCTTCACTAAATGACATGTTTGACTGTGTTCGTGTATAGAAATGGGTTAAAAATATGTTTTTTTGTTGCTGTTGTTGTTACAGTGGCCAGTTTACAGGGCTTTTGTGGTATGGTGGAAAGAGATCCCTCCTTGTAAACTCATGTCTTTTCATCTGCTTCTGTTGTTCAAAAGCTGTCTGATCCTTAAGCAAGGGTCAGTACTCTAAGCTCCATTTTTATCAACTACGCAACTTTCCTGCAAGTTAAAAAATAAAAAGCAAAACTAGCTAAGTGGCTAATGTTCTCTCTCTTTCCCTCTCACAATATGAATGAAAATTGGCTTCACAAGCAAATTGTTAGATTATATGACCTTATGATGATAGGAATATTTTTGCTATCTTTAAAATGCATTACACATAGGTATAAGGTATTAAATGCAAAATATTTCTCATACCAGTCAGTTAATAATGCATTAATTATACATCCATCAATAATTATTGTGATTTGGGCCGGGAATTTAGCTCAGTGGTTCCACTGCCTGCCTCACAAGCGCAAAGTCCTGAGTTCGATCCCCAGTACCAAAAAAAAATAAAAAAAATAATAATGATTGTGATTTATTTTTCTTATAAGACAAAGTTTACACTGGCGACCAGGTTGGCCTTGAACTCACAGTGCTGAGCTCTTTCCTCAGCCTTCTGAGGGATGACGTGGCTTTTTTTTTTTACAATTATCTTCTTACCCAGTATATTATACATACATGTGTGTTATTACATTTGCTTATTTTGGGCAGTACTGGGTCCCTGGGGTGCTCTCCCACTGAGCTATGTCCCCATTCCTTTTTATTTTTTATTTTGAGGCAGGGTCTCTCTAAGTTACCTGGACCGTACCCAAACTTGAAGTCCTGCCTCAGCCTACGTGAGTGCTCAGGTTACAGCTTTTATCCAGTGTATTTTAAAATAATAATTTTA